AATAGCATATTGCTAATCAGAAATACAAGTGGTGTTAGCACACTACAGCCATTTCCTTTATTAAAATGGCTCACACGCTCACCATAATACGTTTATTTGCACTCTTTCTGTGGGAGTAATGGCAGGACAGCCTTCATTGCACATGCTGCAAGACTGCAATGCAAGCAGGCTATCAGCAGAGAACATGGCAAACACTGATCAATCCAAAGGGTATGTTTCCCATATCATTCTTTAATTAAGCTAGTTGCTGCTGTTCAGATATAGAATTGGAACAAGACATTAAGATTAACTTCAGTGCATCCAGATTGGGACAATGATAAATAAAGAAACTTCTTTTTCATTATCAAACGGCAAGAATCTCATGGAATGGCAGAGATACACTAGCAGGTTCGAGTCGGAGTTTGTTGGATTGCAGAGGGGTGTGCAGATGGCTAACTTATACGGCTTAATTTGACACTTTATTTGTCAGATAAAATGCGGCGCTTCCCATGATTCCTGCAGGTCCGTGAAACTATTCGCTTATCAATCATATGTCAAGGACATGTGGCAGAGCACTTAAAAAGTTTCAACCTTTTAGTTAATGATTACATTCATCTTCATACAAATATGACACAGTGTTGATTCAAGTCAGACATTCTCATTTGTCAACATGAAGTTCATGTATTACGGACTTGCTTATTTCTTTCTCCAGATTTGTATTCTACAGAGTACAGATTGTAGCAAAATACTGGTGTGGTATACCGAATACAGTCACTGGATTAACCTGAAACCGGTGCTGGGAAGACTAGTAGAGAGAGGGCATGATGTCACAGTGGTGGCTCCTAATGCTACCCTTTCTATGGACCCAACTGAAGATTCACCCTGGAGCTACAAAATATTCAATACCTCAGTTTCTGTGGAACTAATGAACAGTTATTTAGAAGAGTTTGTTAACTTTTCAATGTATGAAATAGACCACATGAATCTTTTTGAGATATTTGCTAAATTCTACCTAATACTAAGGAAAGAAATGGGGCTGTTCCTTGAGATATTTAAGGGACTACTGGAGTCAGAGCATTTAATGGAGAGTTTGAGAAAGGATGGATTCCAAGTCATACTAGTTGACCCAGTCTATCCATGCGGAGAGCTGGTAGCTGCAAAACTGGGCATCCCTCTGGTGTACACGTTACGCTTCTCCTTTGCCAACGTCATGGAAAGGCTCTGTGGGCAACTGCCAGCACCCCCATCGTTTGTACCGGGTGCGATGAGCAAGTATACTGACCAGATGGGATTTATTGATAGAATGATGAACTTACTCTTTTACTGGTCTCAGGATCTGCTTGCTACGATGCTATGGAGAGACTTTGACAAGTTCTACAGTGAAATTTTGGGTAAGCAGATACTATTTGGGGCACTGAATTGAATTATTTTAAGGCTTTCGCAGCCTTGAATATGACAGAATTCTGATCCACTTCACCTGTGTTTTACACCATAACACGAGTTTGTTGATTGTTCCAAAAACAGGGAGCTTTGTTATTTGTTTTTTAATTGTATAAAGGATGTTATTTATCAGTTATGCTGCTTTAATTAGTATTATTTTGCGAGAACATGCTTCTTCATACCCGTAGTGCTTTTAGAACACCAGACACATAGAAAGTGTTGAAACAATACTGCATAATCTTCATGAAATATTATTGACAGTGTAGTTTGACTTGATTGTTTTTTTCCAAAAGGGAAACCCACCACCCTTTGTGAAACAAT